AGATTATTCACACAGACATCTGTGGTCCGTTTTCTGTAAAGAGTATGGATGGTTATGATTCGTTCATAACATTCACAGATGATTACTCCTGTTATGGCTACATTTATCCAATCAAAGAAAGAACAGAAGCGTTGGATAAATTTAAGATATTTAAGGTAGAAGTTGAAAACCAACATAATTTAAAGATTAAGATAGTCAGGTCCGACCATGGGGGGAGTACTACGATCGGCATACCCCATATGACCAAGTTCCTAGACCTTTTGCAAGGTTCTTACAGGAGAATGGCATAGTAGCCCAGTATTCTACACCGGGCGAACCTCAGCAGAATGGAGTAGCTGAAAGACGTAATCGTACCCTGATGGATATGGTACGCAGTATAATAAGTTACTCCACCTTACCGTTGAGCCTGTGGATGAAGGCGTTAAAAACCGCTATTCATATTCTCAATAGAGTGCCAAGTAAGTCGGTGTCCAAAACACCGTATGAGTTGTGGACAGGAAGAGTACCCTCACTAAACCACTTACGTGTGTGGGGGAGTCCTGCTGAGGCTAAAGTATTTAACCCAAACATTGAGAAACTAGATCCCAAAACAGTAAGTTGCTATTTTATTGGCTACCCAGAAAAGTCAAAAGGTTTTCTTTTCTACTGTCCAGACAGACATACAAAATTTGTGGAAACGAGACACGCTGTCTTCCTAGAGGATGAAATGATGAGGGGAAGCATGGTAGCTCGAGAAAATTGACCTTGAAGAGAAGCGGGTGTATGCACCCACTCCGATGATTCATGAGCCATTTTTCTCACTACCTGCTGTCGCTGCACCGACAGTGCAAGATACTGTGGTGCCAGCACCTGTTGTTATTCCGCCTGTGGCAACAATGAATGACGATGAGGAACCTGTTCTTTAGGATCCTGTAGAACCTGTTGCCACACATGAGGGGGAGCAACAACTGCCTCAAACAGAAGATGTGCCAAATGTGGAGGCCCCTAGAAGGTCTCAAAAAGTTAGAAAATCAGCTATTCCTGCTGACTATGAAGTGTACAACACTGAAGAATTTTAAATGGAGGATGATCCCACCTCATCTGAAGAAGCCATGAGAAGTGATCATTCATCAAAGTGGCTTGAGACCATGGAAGATGAAATGAAATCTATGAATGCCAATAAAGTTTGGGACTTGAAAATAATTTCTAAAGGAGCCAAATCAGTAGGCTGTAAATGGGTCTACAAAACAAAACTTGACTCTCAAGAGAATATAGAGAGATATAAAGCGCGACTTGTGGCAAAAGGCTTTACGTAAAGAGAAGGGATTGATTACAATAAGCCTTTTCTCCAGTCTCATATAAGAATTCCTTCAAAATCATAATGGCATTAGTGGCACATTACGATTTAGAATTACATCAGATGGATGTAAAGACGGCATTTATCAACGGTGACTTGGAGGAAAATGTTTACATGGCACAACCGAAAGGTTTTGTTATGGAAGGAAAAGAACGAATGGGATGCCGCCTAAAGAAATCCATTTATGGATTAAAACAAGCTTCAAGACAGTGGTACTTGAAGTTTGATCAGACAATAAGGAATTTTGGGTTTAAAGAGAGTGTAGAGGACAATTGTGTCTATGCAAAGTTTAAGAATAAGAAGTTTATCTTCCTTGTCCTGTACATGGATGATATCTTACTTACTAGTAGTGATGTCAGTCTACTGCTGGAGACAAAGAAATTTTTGTCCTCAAAATTTGATATGAAAGATCTTAGTGAAACTTTGTTCGTTCTAGGGATCGAGATTCACCGAGATAGAAGTAAATAGGTATTAGGACTGTCACAAAAGGCATACATAGAAAAGATCTTAAAGAAATTCAGTATGCACAAATATAGTCCCTCACCTGCTCCTATAGTCAAGGGCGACAGATATGGAGATTTTCAATGCCCCAGGAATCAGTATGAGATCGATCAAATAAAAACGGTTCCATATGCTTCAGCTGTCGGAAGCTTGCAATATGCTCAAGTATGTACGTGCCCTGACTTGGCATTTGTTACCGGGTTACTTGGCAGATTCCAGAGCAATCCTGAAACAGAACACTAGAAATTAGTAAAGAAAGTCTTGCGTTATTTACGATGAACGAAAAGCCTCATGATGACGTATAGAAGATCAGATTCACTCCATATAGTGGGATATTTAGATTCTGATTATGCGGGAAATGATAGAAAATCCACGTCTGGATATGTATTCATTCTCGTAGGGGAAGCTATTTCATGAAAAAGCTAAAAGCAAACCGTCGCTACATCGTCCACAATGTATGCCGAGTTTGTAGCGTGTTATGAGGCAACGGGGCAGGTGAACTGGCTAAAGAAGTTTATACCCGGTTTGAAGGTGGTTGACGATATCTATAGACCACTTAAGTTATATTGCGATAATAATCCGACAGTACAGTATGCTCACAACAATAAGTCAAGTGGTGCTGCCAAACACATTGACATAAAGTATTATGTTGTGAAAGATAAAGTCCGGGATCATGTCATAAGTCCTGAGCATATAAGTATCGAAAAGATGATCGCGGATCCGCTTACAAAAGGCTTACCACCCAACGTGTTCAGAGAACATGTAGCCAGCATGGGTTTAAGCGAAACCATATAATTTCTGGACAAAAGAAGGTCTAAAGTTAAGTATCTATTTCAGAACAGAGTGGTGTGTTGTAACTGTTAAATCTATCGGCAATTGACTGTGACGATGAAACATGCTCTATGCGCTAATCTGTAATGGAATGAACAAAAGTAAATGATATCAAATTGAAAGATGGTAGGAGATCAAGGGGGAGATTGTTAGATTGATCTCTAATCCCAAACTGGGCCCAACGGCCCAGTTGGGCCTTTGATCCGCGCCCTGATCGGGGGCGCCCAGCCCACTATGGCTGGAGGGCCCCTGTCACACTGCGCAATAAATAGAGGTGGAGGCCGGCGGCTCTGAGTACGAGGTTCGCCTAAGCCGAGCTCCCCACCGACAAACCCTAACCCGATCAGAGAGGGGCGCAGCCAGTGACGGGAAGCCACCAGTTGCGCCGTCACCAGTCTTCACCGTCGGTCGCCACCGCCCATCACCGTCACCGTCTTCGTCGACCGTCGTTGCCCGTGCGCAGACTTCACCGACTCCATGGCGGACACGAGCGGATCCTCCTCCAAGGGCACAGACGGTCAGCCTTTTCCATCCCTTTCTCTCTCTCTAGATGTAGTAGTTTAAAGTTCTAGGGTGTATTCAACATGTTTATAGAAAGATATACCCGTTAGATTTACGGTTAAGGTCATGTTCTTCCCAACAAAGCCGTCTGGTCCGGGAGCCTTCTCTCCTGGCATCTCCCGAATTGTGTTCTTGATTTCATTTTCTGTGAACGGGAGGTCTAGAGAGGGATCATGGACCTGGCTGAGGTGGAGTCGATCCCAATCTAGTGTACATGTTCTCTGTACTGTGCTTCCAAGTATTTGAGCAAAGTGTTGGTACAGAATATTTTCCTTCTCAGTATGGTTCCAGACAATGTTTCCGCTGTCTTGTTTGAGGTAGGCGATCAGGTTTCTGCTCCTTCGGCTGTTAGCTTTTTGATGAAAGAATTTAGTGCACGCGTCACCCTCTTTTATTTGGAGAAGCCGGGAGCTCTGCCGCCTTCGAGAACGTTCAATAGCAGCCCACCCCAACACTCTGGCTTTGAGTTCTTTGTGTAGCATCATTTCTTGAGGGGTTAAGGTCCTCGACTCCTGAGTAGTGTCCAACCGTAGGATTACTTCATTTGCCATCAGATGTGTCCGGGCTTCACTAAAGAGCGTCTTGCTCCAGTGGCGGAGCGATCGAGCTGTGGTGGATAGGCGGTTGTAGAAGATCATTAGAGGTGACGTTCCTCTAACTAGGCTGCTCCAGGCAGAAGCAACAATGTCAAGGAAGGCCGGCACCCGCGTCCAGAACTGCTCAAACTTGAAGCTGATTATCCTCGGCGCTTGCTGTTGGATCCCAAGAAAGAGAGGGGAGTGATCTGAGAGGGAACTAGACAGTGCTTGCAGGTTCACAGTTGGGAAGATGGCGTCCCATTCCTTGTTACAGAATACCCTGTCAAGATGAACAAGAGTAGGTTGTGCACGGCCGTTGCTCCAAGTGTAGCGCCTATTCTGCAGTCTTAGTTCCATCAGTTCGCTCGCATCAAGAGCTCGACGGAAACGGCCCATGAGTCTACGGTTGATGTTGTTATTGTTCTTGTCCCTTGCCTCATAAATCAAATTGAAGTCCCCCAAACATAGCCACGCCGTGCCCGCCGTCGGCTAACAATCGATTAGTTCATCCAGGAACATGGTCTTCAGACTGTCCTCGGTCGGTCTGTATACGGAGGTAAGTAGGAATGAGGCATTTGAAAGCTTCATTGTCAGTTTCAGAGATATACTGAATCTCTGTCTGCTTGGTGCCTCCGCATGAACCAGGTCCTGATTCCATGCCACCAGGATGCCGCCGCGGGTAGACTCGGCCGCCAGATACTCATAGCACATACATGTCTGTCCTAAAAACTCCAATGCCAAAAATCTGTCTACGCTGTCCAGCTTAGTCTCCTGGATACAAATGATACTTGGCCCGGCCTGCTGAATTAAGATTTTCACTGCTTCTCTGCGTGCAGCGCAGGTGAGGCCGCGAACGTTCCAATTAAGCAAAATTTGATGTCACCCATTGGAAACAATCAGAGAGCAACAAACAGCACATCTTGCCAGCAAGCAAGGAGAACAACATATGGCCAGCAAACCGTTAACTAAACTGAAAACAGAACACAGTACACATGCCATCCAGCCACCTCCCACTGTCGCCCAGTGCATCAGACATCCAGGAACAAGCCATCGGAACACAGACCTCCAACCCAGAGAACAAACATCACTGATCACAGAACCTAACTGAACCGGTTGAAGACCGGCCGGCGCTGACTCTATCCTAAGATACATGATTCAAGGGAACTGCTACTGATCACGTTGCATCTGACAATCTAAGCCACCTCCATCTGTGCCACGCCAGACTCCGCTGCAATGGCCGCAAGCGCCTCGGACAGCTCCTTGTTCCCCAGACGCGTTGCCGCCCTGATGGCCTGCACCGCCTTGTCTGGGAGATCTTCCCCGTACATGTCGGTGTAGGCCGTGACCGCTGCATCCGGTGCCGCTGACTTGCTGTTGATGAAGGCGAGCTCACGCATGAGCCTGTGCTGGGCACGCTCAGCAACCGGGAATGGAGACGCCCGGGCTGCAAGGCGTGTGCTTGAGCGGCTGGGGGCTGCCACCCGCCTCTTGCCGCGGCTGCTTGTCGGAGCAAACAGGTCCGACCTCTGTAGGATCGAGGGCGGCACGGCCTTGAACATACCAGCGGTGAAGGCGGCGTACTCATCATCAGGCTCCTCACGGTCCTTGTTCAGATCTGCCGCTGCAGCCTCCGCGTGAAGTGCATCCTCAACCTCCAGGCCCAAACCGTGCTTGGCGGCCGGGTCGTCGACATCAGAGCCATCTCCAGAGCTTGGGCCGTAGTCACTGGCTTGGGCCGCACCATCAATTTCCATCCGCGTAACCAGGTCAGAAATCTCGACCATCGGATTCGCGGGCCTCTTGTTGGTCTCCTCGAGCTTGTTCAGGTTGGGACGAGGATGGGCCGGCCCACAGCTTGCTGACGGGGTGGTAGTGGTACTCCGGCGAGCATTGCCTGCCGCCGTCGCAGCTGCCGTGCCCGGGGGATTTTAGGCCTATCACAATGATTCACAGCTTCGCTAAGCTGGTCTCCAAAATACTGGCCCTTCGTCTTGCGCCAAGGCTGAACGAACTGATAGCCTTTGTCAGAGAGCGGACGATACATGATAATTTTAAATATATCCAGAGGGCAGCCGTTATGATAAGACAGAAGAAGGTCCCCATGGTGCTACTCAAGCTGGACATTTCTAAGGCGTTTGATTCTTTATCTTGGCCTTTCCTGCTTAGTGTATTGCAAGCACGAGGATTCGGCAACAGATGGCGAAGTTGGATTGCAACGCTGCTTAGAACGGCATCATCCAGGATAATTCTCAATGGTCATCAGGGGCCGCCTATAAGCATCTCAGGGGAATGCGCCAAGGGGACTCATTGTCGCCCATGCTGTTCATCTTAGCAATGGACATCTTGCACAGGTTATTTCTCAAGGCTAGCACAGATGGGGTACTCAGAAGGATGGAACCGCCGGAAGTTACGTACCAATGCAGTATATATGCGGATGATGTGATCTTATTCATTCGGCCAACCGTTCAGGATGCAACAGCAGTGAAGGAGATCCTGACTGTCTTTGGGGATGTTTCAGGCCTCAAGACCAACCTTGCCAAGTGCTCCATCACTCCAATATACGTAGGTGAGGAGGCACTCAATGACATTGTCAGCATCCTTGGCTGTCAGGTGCAACCATTCCCGATCAAGTACCTGGGGCTGCCTCTGAGTACCAGACCAATCCCAAAAGCAAAGTCCAGTCAATCGTTGAGGCAGTAGCCCGGAAGCTCCCTCCTTGTCACGGTACACTCATGGCGAGAAGCGGCCGATTAGTGTGGATCAAATCGGTTTTACGTGCTGTCCCAATTTACGCAATGATGGCGGAAAATTTGCCATCATGGGCGCGAAAGGACATAGATGCAATCTGCAGAAAATTCTTATGGGTGGGCAACGATGCTTCAGTTAGAGGCAAATGTATGGTGGCTTGGCCGGCAGTTTGCAAGCCCACACAGTTTGGCGGCCTGGGCATCAGTGATCTCAAGCTCCTGGGGTTTGCCCTCCAGACTCGTTGGCTTTGGTTACAAAAGACAGATCAAGAGAGGGTGTGGAGTGAGCTGCCGATCAAAACAGTTCCTGAGGTGCAGGCCTTCTTCCGAGCATCCACCTACACCATCATCGGTGACGGTCGAACTGCATTATTCTGGACCGATCGATGGATTCATGGTGAAGGCGTCCAAGACATTGCGCCATGTCTGTTTCAGTTGGTGCCAATGCAAGCGCGACGGCGACAGTCAGTCAGAGAGGCGCTGACTAACAGACAATGGGTACGTACCATAACTGGGGGCTTCTCTCGGACTGCCTTAGAGGAGTACCTGGCCCTTTGGAACATTTTGGAGGAATTTAACCTCAACGATCAACCGGATAGACTGATATGGCGATGGACTCCGGACAGATCCTATACAGCAAAGTCGGCCTAGGTGATGCTGCACACCGGCGCTACTACCTTCCGTGGTCACCGGCTAATCTGGAAGACTTGGGCTCCGATGAGGGTCAAGATATTCCTCTGGTTGGCGCTTCGACGCAGGCATTGGACAGCGGATCGGCGCGCACGGCATGGTCTGGAAGCAAGAGACCGATGTTTCCTCTGTGATCAAGTACCGGAGACAATTGACCACATTATTGCCTCCTGCCCGTTCACCCGTGAACTCTGGTACTTCATCTTACAAGTGCTTGGCCTGCAACTCCCGCGTGGAACCCAAACAACGATCAGCTGGTGGCACCAAGTGCGGAAGCTCGTCGACGGGATGCAGCGAAAGGGCCTCGACTCGCTGTTCGCGTTAGTATCACGGCAGGTATGGAAGGAGCGTAATGCAAGATGCTTCCGAGACTCTTCCGCTGATCGCTGGATCGAGGCGTGTGCGGCTGGGCTCCGAGCGCTAGCTGACAGATAGCAGCATCAGTTCGTTGATGCCGGTTGTTGTGTTTCCAAAATGTAGCTCTTAAGTGTGCACCGGCTCAGCCGGCAACTCTTGAGCTCATGCGTATTCGAGAAAAAAGCAGTGGCAAATGCATGTCACAAGAGAAAACACATTTCCTGAACCCGACATAATTATTTGGTATTCCAATTTCCACCAGGGTGAGGGCTTGTCAAACTTGCTCTAGCAGATGAATAATAAATCAATCAAACCCGAACAAAATCGGACGCAAAGCAGAACATAGCAAAGCCCACTGTTTCCTCGCGCAAAACAGAATCAATCACTTGCTAAAAGGCCAAAGCGCCAGCAGCTGCCTAGCAGGCAATGACAACCTGACGGGAAGCAGGAGTGCAAGCTGACTTGAGATCTGTCTCGATCTGACAACCATCACCATGGAGAACTGCCAACCCCGCGGTCTCTCGTGGTTCGCCGAGTCCTGCATCCACGTCCCCAGCCGCCACCAATGCCGACCAGCTCCACGGTCCACCACCAGCCCAGCCTCTGACACCAACAAATGTCCCATCTCCAAGCTCCCCGACGAGCTCCTTGACCGCGTGCCCCGTGCCTCCCTCCCGCCACTCTCTATCGTCTACAGCCGCTTCGCCTCATTTTTGTATGATCTAGGAGGAACGCTTGGCCGTCGGATGTGCGCGCGACGCAGGAGAGACCGCCGCAACGCCCGCCGCAGTCGCCCGTGGCACGGGCAGGAGAGACCCCGACTGTGTGGGCGTCGATGTCGTCGCAACGGCGTGCGGGGGAGGAGTCGGTTGTTCCGGTAGGGTGTATACACCTGCAGGGGCTGGTGGCGGCGTGCGGGCCGGCATAACCGGTTCGGCGCAGCGGCAGCCAGCATAGCTGCATCTGCATGCGCGGGCGTATTCCCCTGCATTGGCCATGAATTGCTTGAGCATTTCCTTGCAAAATTTCATAACTTCGCAGGTCTACGAGTCAACCCCTTGTCACTACTGAATCCCACATGCATCGGCTGAAAGGGCAGATAAATTAGCCTAGTTGTGGGTTACAGTTACATGGCTAAATCTAAATGAAAATGGTTTATAAGTTAAAGCATGGCATAAGGAGGAGAATGAATCGTCAAAGGGAAAAGTTCAGCAGGACTGCCTGATGAACATCTCCCATGAAGCGTGGCAAGAACAGAAGGGCTTCAGTCAAGTTGTTGCGTTGTAACCATACAGTGGTTAGAATGCGCAGGGACACAGTTGAGAGCAGCACCTGTTGCATTTCCGATCGGTGATGCGTACTTGCAGTGCAGAAGCTGCTAGGTGATTAGTTGGCGATAGCGCCGGACAGGAGGTCCTCCTGCTTCGGAACCACAAGCAGCAGTGGCCCTGGTTCCCAGTTCCCACTTCCCACAGAGCTCATCGAGTCATCGACGGTGTCTCGGCGGAAGCATGGCTGGACGGCGTCTCAGCGTCGCACTGTCCGTTCTCCTCGGCAGCATCCAGGAGGCGGCCTGCAGACCCCCACCTCCTTCGAGCGGCGGGAGCAGGACAGCTCTGCTCCTCCGGGCAGCGGGCGGCGGGCGCACGCGCACAGGACGGCTCGGCGCGCGACACCAGCGCGGTGCGAGCGAATAATAAGCAGGTGCTCCAGCTTATCTTCACGGAGGAAAACCGAAGTCTCCGGTTATAAAAATTAAAATGCTGACAGCCATCAGATCTTCCTTCGACGGTTGATATAGGCACGAAAGTTACCCCCGCGTCCCCCGCACTCGGCCTCCGGTCTCCCTCCGCCTGCCGGGCCCTCTCCCGCCCCCTCCCTCGCCGGATCCGCCCTCCCTCCGCCTCCCCGGAGCTGCCTCGCCGGATCCGCCCGCCGGCTGCCCGGACGGCCCAGCGCACCGACGACGGACGCCCGGCGCCCCGACATCCTAGCCTTGCCGTTTTCCTTACCCGCGTCAGGTACGGGCACCCACGGCAACGGCGTCCCGTCTTTTATATTTTGTCATCAAATAAATTAAAAGAAGAAAAGGTCCAAACTATTGCCATTTGCCCCTCTATCTTGCTCGCCACAGCTTCGTCAAAGACACGCTGAAAAGAAGAGAAAGGGGGAGGCGACTCGACCGAGGCCAGCTTGCGATTTGCGCTTCCAGATTTACCAGGTTCGTCGATTCGTGCCCTGATCTTTCCTCTATATGTCCTATTTCCTCCCCATCGGTATCCGCTGGGTGGGGTTACGGGTCTATTGGGATCTTAGTAGGGTCTTTCTGAGGAACGGCGGCTGGGATTTTGGTGACGGCGGCTGGGGATTTTGGTGATTTTGTAGATGGATAGCATGATTCAACGGTGGGGAGAAGAGATATCATGGGGGAATTTTGGATTCATGGCGAATCTAGCATTTTGATTTGGTCTTTCTGCGTTCAGCACGAGGCTTCTACGAATTTAGTGCAGTAGGATTAGTAATTGTTGTGAAGGGAGTTATCTTGTTGCAGTTCTACAGGTCAGAAATGTGGTTTGAACCTAGGATGTTGCAGCTTATCTGAGAACCATCATGATTAAATAATAAATACTGACCCATGACCACAAGCTGGGAGCAAGAGACAGCATGCTATAGTCATCCTCATGTTGGGGTTAGCTGCAGCAGAGACAAGCAAATTTTTTGGCAGTGGTCATTGTAAACTTGAGTAATCTTGTTTGTCCTAAGTGCTACCTTGGTGTACTTTAGCCCATGTCTAGTTCTATCGTGCTTAAGTGGTCATTGGAAAAAAAAATACTATTCTCGCAGATTCATGATGTATCATTTGCTCTAGTCAAACAAAATTCTTCTACATATGCAAATCCTTTTCTATGAAGCTTGTTGTACTCAATAATGGCATTGATAGACAGAAATGCCTAGAAACTGTCTGTTGATAACTTGCTCGTAAGAGCTCC